CCAATTCCTGGCAACTACTGATCTTTTTACTGCCTTCAAAATTTTGCCCATTCCAGAATGTCAGATTAGCTGCTGCTTCTTTTTTTTTTTAATAGAGACAGGGTCTCACTCTGTCAGCCAGGCTGGATGGAGTACAGTGGTGTGATCATAGCTCACTGTAACCTCAAGCTCCTGGACTCAAAGGCTACTTTCAGCCTCAGCCTCCGAAGTAGCTGGGACTACAGGCACATGCTACTAAGACCGGTTAATTTTTCTATTTTTTGTAGAGATGGGGTCTCGCTTTTGCTCAGGCTGGTCTGAAACTCCTGGCCTCTAGCAATCCTTCCGCCTCAGTCTCCCAGATTGCTGAGTTTACAGGTGTGAGCCACTGTGCCTGGCCAGATTATCTTCTTCCATTTGTTAATATGAATTCAGATTTCCTCCATGTCATTTCATGGTTTGATAGTTCATTTCTTTTTAGTGTTGAATAATATTCCATTTTCTTGATGTCCTGCAGTTTATTTTTCCATTCACCTACTGAAGGACATATTGATTGCTTCCAAGTTTCAGTAATTATGAATAAAGCTGCTATAAACATGTTATATGTGTGTACATGTTGATTTTTGTGTGGACATAAGCTTTCAACTCTTGGGGAGCACTGTTACTGAATCATATGATAAGAGTATGTTTAGTTTTATTAGAATCCACCAACCTGTCTTCCAAAGTTGTACCATATTGTATTTCTACCAGCAGCAAGTGAGAGTTCCTATTTTTCCATATCCTTGTCAACATTTGATACTGTCAATGTTCTGGATTTTGGCCATTTTAATTCAGTGTTTTGGATTTTGGTATCTTATTCTTATTTTAATTTGTATTCCTCTGATTACATAGGATATGGAACACATTTTTTTTTTTTTTTGAGACAGTGTCTCACTTTGTTGCCCAGGCTAGAGTGAGTGCCGTGGCGTCAGCCTGGCTCACAGCAACCTCAATCTCCAGGGCTCAGCGATCCTACTGCCTCAGCCTCCCGAGTAGCTGGGACTACAGGCATGCGCCACCATGCCCGGCTAATTTTTTTGTATATATATTTTTAGTTGGTCAATTAATTTATTTCTTTTTTTGGTAGAGACGGGGTCTTGCTCAGGCTGGTTTCGAACTCCTGACCTTGAGCAATCCGCCCGCCTCGGCCTCCCAAAGTGCTAGGATTACAGGCGTGAGCCACCACGCCCGGCCTGGAACACATTTTTATATGATTATTTGCTATCTGTATATATATCTTCTTTGATGAGGTATTTGGCCCTTTTTAAAATCAGGGTTTTTTTTAAGAGCTCTTTGTAAATTTTGGATAATAGTCCTTAATCGGATATGTTTTTTGGAAATATTTTCTCCTGGTCTGTGGCTTGTCTTTTCATTCTCTTCAGTAGCAGAACAGAGCAGAAATTTTAAATTTTAATGAAATTTGGCTTATCAATTCTTTCCTTCACAGATTATAACTTTGGTGTTATATCTAATAGGTTATCACTAGGCCAAAAGTCAACTAGATTTTCTACACATCATTTTTTACAGGAATATTAATCTTTTTCTTCTGAAACTTTGGATGCTCATTCGTCTTTAGTTTTGCTTATTATATTTTTACCATGCAAATATTTTAAAATTTTTATGTAAAAATTAATTTTTTATTACTTCTGAATTTTGTAGCTAAGAAAGTTTTTCACAATTCCCGGTAAAAAGAAATGTATTCATTTTATTATTTTATGGCACAATGTACTATAGTTGAATATCTCCAGGTTTATTAAGTTTTATTAAGTAAAAAAAAAACAACAACCAGGGTTCAGAACAGTGTGCATAGTATGCTGCTTTTTATCTTAGAGTGTATGTGCATATATGTATATATGTGTATGTATCCATACGTGGGTACTTACATAAACATTCGTACATAGTTGCTTGTTTGTCAAAAAAGATAAAAAGGAAAATAAAAACAGTGAAAGGTTAAACCAAAATAGTAAAAATGATCACCTATATTGGTGGTGGTGGGTGGGGGAGTAAGTATGATATAAGCAACAGAGATGGAAGCAAGATTATCTAAGTATTTTCCTTGTTTTATAGTTTTGACTTTGGAACCATGTGGATATTTCATGCAATCATAATCTAAAGTTAAATCAAAATTAAATAACAGCAAATCCTAGAACAAAAAGAAAATAAAACGCATGAATTTAACTGTGTATTAAGTTGATGACTTTATTTCCAATCACTTTTAAGTATAGTAATGCAGTTATACATCTCTGGAGGTATATATCTTAGGAACATAAAATTGTAGGAAACTTAACAGTATTTGGTAATCAAATTTTAGTAATAATTGGTATTTTTATTTTGAAACTAATATTTCATGTTTAAAGTAAATAAATAATCATGTTAAAATCTCCAGGAACCACAATTTTTAGCATAAGATGGACAGATATTTTTCAAAGATGTATTAAATTTGTATATATACCATGTTTCCTCGAAAGTAAGACAGGGTCTTATATTTATTTTTTTCCTCAAGAAGACACCCTAGGGCTTATTTTCAGGGGATGTGTTATTTTCCCCTCAAAGCCTCAGCTTGTAGCATGCACAGGATGGCTGGGACCTGACAGGGGGAGCCGACCTTGTTGCTGGGGCTGTTGGCACCTTTCCGGTGGTCACCTCTGGGATAGTAGCTGTCACGCTGGGGCAGATGAGAAGGGCTGCTCGTCTTCTTTACTGCTCCGCAAGGAAATGCATGAGTTGTGCAGATACGCTGCAGTAGCCATGCCCTTCACTAGGTCTTATTTTCGGGATAGGACTTATATTGTACAAATGCTTACAAATCCTGCTAGGGCTTATTTTATGGGTAGGTCTTATTTTGGGGGAAACACGGTATTAAATTCAGTTGAAAAAAATAGTATGTATTTATGATATATATTTTTCTCCTTCAAAAATATTTGTGGTTTCTAGCTCTGTTCAATGAAAATACCTATAAATATGAATAGCACCTTAATAGTGACCACTTACAGGACGCTGATTGTGGTCTTTAAATAGCATTTTTTGCTAATAAGATCTAGCACTTTTGGAAGAAATGACTGATTCCAGATCTGGGGTAGAATATATAAGCCCAGAACATCTTATTATAACAGAAAGCAGGGAAGTTAAGAAAGATATGGTGATTAGGCCATAGGAACCAGTTTGAGAAGACTACTATTTGCCAAAGATGGGAATTTTAGCAAAGAAAAAAGACGCTAGGATTGCAAAACATCAAATATGTTCAAGAGCTGAGAATCGTAAGGATACAAACAAAACAAAATAAAACAAAAATCCACATTGGCCACCTCTGAAAAGTACTAAAAGATAAAGTCATTATTTTCAGTACTGGTAAATAACAGAATCATGTTTTTATCTCACTCTTCCTGTAAAAACCTTATTTCAGAGTAACTAATTAACGAGATGGATTTCTTCTTTATAAGAAGAGTTTTTCAGCCGGGCGTGGTGGCTCACGCCTGTAATCCTAGCACTCTGGGAGGCTGAGGCGGGCGGATTGCTTGAGGTCAAGAGTTCGAAACTAGCCTGAGCAAGAGCGAGACCCCCGTCTCTACTATAAATTGAAAGAAATTAATTGGCCAACTAATATATATATATATAGAAAAAATTAGCCGGGCATGGTGGCTCATGCCTGTATTCCCAGCTAGGGAGGCTGAGGCAGTAGGATTGCTTGAGCCCAGGAGTTTGAGGTTGCTGTGAGCTAGGCTGACGCCATGGCACTCACTCTAACCTGGGCAACAAAGTGAGACTGTCTTAAAAAAAAATAAAAAGAGTTTTACTAATAAGTGAAGAAAAATTAACAAAATTAGACTACTACAAGTTTACAACCTTTATTAATTAAAATAATATCTCTGGGAAATCGTCAGTGGCTGCTAACGCCCTCAGATAAAGCATGGATAAGGGAGCATGATAATAGATGGATCCAGCTAACAATACCTGACCCCACTGGTCAAACTTGACATTGCCATGAGAAAACCAGTTGTTATATACCAACTTATAGGCTACAATAGGAAGTACACACTTTTCAAAAATTTAACTTGTTTAAGCCCCTAGATCTATCCGTTTATAGGACATAGAAGAGATAGGTAGAGGAACATATGATTAATAAATGACATCTCAGGATGCTATTAGCCAAATCTAGAATGACAGAGATTTTCTAAGATAAATGGCTCAGTTTCTTCAGTTTCTTCAATAAGTAATAGGCAAGAAATAAAGAGTGGGGAAACTATTAGAGATTAAAAGAGAAAGAAAATACCAACCAAATACATTATGTAGAACTCATCTGGATCTTGATTTGAAAAAACCAACACTACAAAATCACTGGAATAATGAGGGAAATTTGAACAATGAATGAATTTTAGATGATATTAAGAAATTGTCAATGTTTTATATGTGATATTACTATTGTATTCATGTTAAAAACAGTTTTTATCTCTTAGAAATATAAGTTGAAATATTTACCAAGAAAATGAGATAATCTCTGTAATTGCTTTTAAATAATTCTGTGAAGGGATAAAAGGAGAGGCCTGGGTGACATTTCATCTTGGATAATGAGTACATAGGGTTTATTACAGTATTTTTTCTATGTTTGAATGTTCAAAATTTTCAATTATGAATTATTTTCAATTAAAAATTAAATTTAGCTTTAATTTCTTAATTTAAATGGAATGGAATTTTATAAACCATCAAAGTAACTGAGAAACTCTCTGAATTTTAAACCTGAATATTTGATGTGTATATATACATACATATTTACAGGAATGTTATAGAATTTATGCAGCATAAATGCTATAGTTCTGTATTCAAACAATTACTAACCAAGAAATTAATATGAATCTAATAGTTTTCATAATAAGCAATTCTCATGTTTATCAATACACCAGGGAAACTTTTGAGGTCAGTCTAACACTATGTGTTCCTTCTATCATACCTACCTCTCACCAAGCTCCTTATATTTGTTTTTGCAGGTACAGCAGGTACAGACTGTGCAGCAGGTACAACATGTTTATCCAGCTCAGGTTCAGTATGTGGAAGGAAGCGATACTGTCTACACCAATGGAGCAATGTAAGTTTCTATGTGGAAGTCTTTTTAATTCTCTCACTCAGAGAAAAATAGTGTACTTTCTAACACATCCCACTATTCCCAAATCATTTCCTTGTTTTCACAGTAATTTTTACTACATCAGAGTTATTGAAGTTAAACTGATGTTTAAGACTTTGTCTATGTTTATTAAGATGTGCTTATTTCCTCTCACTTAACATTTGTAGGATATTTTAAATTGTTATTTATAAATTTATAAATATTTTAAATTGTTTAAACTATTATATCTTCTAATAGTTTTTCAAAGTTGAGAAAAGCTTATACTCTTGTTAGTTATTTCTATATTTAAATAATACCTTCTAAAATCTATGCTTTTTGTTTTTATATATAAGGTTAATTTGTATGCATATGTGTGCTTGTCTGTAAACTAATATAACTAGTATTTTAGGAGTTTTTTTCTCACACTTATTAAATAAGATACTCTACATAAAAGTTCCTGATATGCAATGAGTCTTATTTTCCTGTCTAAAGATACCCTCTTACCCCACCAACTCTCTCCTTGCATCAACAATAGTATAAATTTGTAAATGTATTTTATTTGGGCTTTTCAGCCACGTTAAAATTCAGGATTTTATTATTTAAAAAGAGACTAAGAATTAGTGTAAGTCATCAATAAGTCATCATGATTGTTTTGAACTTGGGTTTTTGTTTGCAGCCTGTTGGCTTTCTGGGTTTATCTGAAATGAATTTAAATTCTCTCACTAACTCTTCTGCCTGCCTCCCCTCAATGTTGGTATACCCCAGGATTATAACCATTATAACCTCTTCTTTCTTTATTCTTACTACACCTACTCTTTCCTTGGGTGGTTTCATTCATTTCCTCAATGTCAACCTGTAAGCTCCACATGGAGGCCGGGATTTTTTTGGGTTTTTTTTCTGCCACTATAATAACTCCAACACCAGAATAATTCATGACACATAGACTGTGTTCAATTGTTATTATCTATTATTATTATTATATTATAATTAAAAACTTAGAATTATGGTAAACTGTGTATTAGTTTTATAACTGTGGTCAATGTTTATATAAATTTTAAATATTTATATATTATATTTATAAATAATATGTTATTTATAATATGCATTATAAATAATATATTTATAAATAAATATATTTATATATTTATATATTATATTTATAAATAATATGTTATTTATAATATACATTATAAATAATACATTTATATATATTTATATATAAATATATATTTATTTAAATATTTTGGACTTTTTATTATTCTTTCCATTAATAATATCATTCTTACTGAGTTTTGAGGACTTGAGGAAATATATTTAAAGCACCCAATACAGGCCTGTGATACATATGATACATATGATACATATGATACAAAACTGAAAACTTTTCATTGATCCTGACTTTTCTCTCTTTTCTTATTACTTTGGGTCACTCAATCTATCTACATCACCACTGCTTTAGCACCACCTCCATTACAAATAAAATAAAATAAAATCCAATTTCCATCTTGACATTCTCCCCATTCCTACCTCTATAGCTTCACTTTCCACCCGTTTGAGGCATAGCCAACTTTGTGCATTTTCCCCCAGTACTCCCCTTTCATACTTCTGTGTTTTCAGACATGTGGTTTTCTCTGCTGAAATAGCGTTCTCTGCTTTCTATTCTTTCTTCCCAGCCTCCTAAACTCAGTCTAGTATGGTCTTAGACTGACACTTCATTCCCTCCTTTGTGACATGGGCCCTGACTCTCCTCTGCAATTAGCTTATCTTTCCCTTGTAAATGACAACACAGGATTCTGATTTTCACTACCAGCATTGTACTATAAATGCTTGTTTATGTTTCTCTGAAAGGTAACTTGACATTTTGTTGTTTTATTTATATTCACTTAGGTGATCGACACATAATAAAAAGTTAATAAATTTCTGTTACTTGATTGAATCTATATCTCTTTACCTATTTTAGACATACTACGAACATTTTTTTACTGTACCTCTTTGTATAGGTCCAGGGCCTCTTGGAGCCTGAGTTTTCAGTCTCTACCATAAACCCAAAGTACTGTTGGCTTTTATTCCAAATGCAAGAGATGCCTGCTGCTTGGAACTTCATGCCTTTAGGGAAAATAAATGGCTTTCTTGATACTGCAAGAGGTTACCCAGTTATCAGTTGTCATTTCATCCTTGCCTGTGACATAATAATGGTTACCTGTAGGGGAATCTAAGAATGGAAGTTTGTAGCTTTCATGTCTGTTACTGTAGAAGGTGGCAAGAGAAAAGGGCAGTTGGAATGGGTGCTGAGTGATTTATCTGTCACAGTAATTTCTCATTTTTTACTGGTCCAAGTTAAGGTGGAGAGATTAGTCTGTTATCTGTGAAATAGAAATACTAGTTAAGCATTTCTAATCCAAAATTTGAAATCTGATATGCTTCAAAATCTAGAACTTTTTGAGCAACCATGTAATACTCAAAGGAAGTGCTCACTGAAGCATTTTGGATTTTGGATTTTGGATTTTTGGATTAGAGATGCCCAACGGGTAAGTATATAATGGACACGTTACAAAATCTGAAAAAAATTTAAAATCCCAGACACTTCTGATCTCAAGCATTTTGAATGAAGGATACTGAGCCTGTAACCCCAGTTTATCAAAGTGCTTTGTGTACCACCTGAAGCACTTAATACTATGTTTACTAGTACTCAACAAACATTAATTATTGCTGTAAAATTATATAGTTGTTTACATACTTCTACTTATAATTCTAAATTCTATTTATTGTCTTGTCCGTTTTTAAACCACCTTAGCCACTCTTAGAAAAACAGCTTTTCTAAGATTGTTTTTTAAAAAAATTATAGGGCCTATTTAAGTACAGAAATGATTCAAAGTAAGTATCTGGTTGCCAACATATATTTTCTATGGCCCACTAGCTTAGTTGGTTAGATCATGACTAATGAGGTCTAGGTCATGAATTCATTTGACACAAAGTCCAATTAGCTTTGTTCTGGTCTGTGTGGGCCCAGAGTGTATCTTCAACTCCAGCCAATCATGTCACAAATGTGCACTTTTTGTCAAGAGAGAGAAGATGCATCTTTAAAAATTTTTCATTACTATCAAGTATAATTGTTGACTAAAGATTCTATAGCATCATTTTCATATTTAAGAAGGAAATATCATTGTATTGCCATGTATTATACTCAAAATTTTAATAGTTAGAGGACTATATTTTTTCTCAAATATGACCCCAAATTTCTTTTTTTCAGCAGAAGCTACTTTAATCTTTCTGTAATTTTGCAGTGCTGTCATTTGACTACATACAACTTTTGTCTCTAATGTTCATTTTAGGGTTTTTATACTCCCTCTTTTTATTTGATATACTTCCATATGTGTTAGGAAAAAAATACTCCATGTTCTTCTGTTTTATCAGAGTGAATTAATAGCCAGTTAGTGTTTGATCCCTGACTTGGATCACAGTCAGATTCCCACTTCTGTGTGATAATAAATGCTTTCTACTAATGATACTTTCAGAAGATAGGGGCTCTGATCTTTATTACGAACTTTCAAGCACCCAGTACATGGCCCTACAACCTGTACATGCTTAGCAAGTACTAGTTCACTGATGCTCTGGTCACCAGCATCCCCATGTCATGTAGTCATAATGCATGGGGTCTTATTCAAGAGGTGGTGGCAGCCTTCACAGATATGTATCATCACTTATGAAAATGTGTAATCATTGTAATTTGATGATACTAAAGTGTTTACCTGGTTCTCCCTGTGAATATAGACAATTACTGCTGGAATAACAGGCTTAACAGTTTGAGTTGGTGAGTGCGCATACATTTCAATTGAACAATTGAGACTGCTGTATAGTGCTGGCTAGCTTTTTTTGCTCAAGGGAGAAGGTAACTCAATTCACTGTTATTCACTGTTGCCACTGTTTATTTTATCCTTCTGTAGGAACTCAAGCTAACCCATTTGTGTATTTCCTTGTAATCATTCTTCTAAGATTTTTCCAAAGGCTTGATCATGGTCATCTCCATTTCTACAAATTCTTACAATTTATGATCTCTAGTCATTTAGAATACTGGGGTTAAGCCAGCTGGGAAACATTGCATACCATGTAGAAAGAGTCCATTTCAATTGAAATTTCTTGATGTAGCTCTGCAACCATTTTTTCAAATAAATTTTTTTTCTTTCCCCCACTCTTTTTTTGACTCATACTTTCTCCACCCACTCCTACATCATGCTAGTCAAACTAGAAATAAAGATATCTTGCCATATTATGGCCAAATTAAGAAATCTTTATTTTAAAGCATTTTCTTATATAAACCACTCTTTGAAGCGTGCCCACTGTGAAGAGACACTCAATGTTTTAAAATGCAAGCATTCCTTATATGGGGATCTGTTGTAATAAGGATTGACCAGCCTTCTTATAGTCTTCCTGTTTAAATTATAGATTTCTCATCAACCTCAATGTAGAATTTCCCAAACCATGTTCCACAAAATGTTAGTCCCGTAAAAGTTCTGTGATTACACAAGCAGTGATATACTGTATGATTGCCTTTCTGTTGAGGACTCTATGGTTCTTTAAAAGTCTCTGTAGAGTTTGAGAAGTCTTATAGGAATGCATAGAGTTCTTTTATCTGTATAATATCTAATAAAATCCCATGGTATATGTTGGAAGATGGTATATTGACATTGAATATATACAATTCACTAATTGTTGACATTGTATAATTAATTAATTCACAATCGACAACCATGTGGACAGGATTCACATTTTAAAAACACTATACCTGTGGTCCTCTCTTGAAAATCATGTAGTTAGTGCATTTTCTGAACTCATCCAATTATTTTTTTCTCATATACTTTAAATGATTAATGAGGAACCTTAAAAGGATACTCTCTTTAAAGTCATTTTTCCTCTTTAGGTGAAATAGTGGTTTTCAATATTTGCAGGTGAAATTATACTTATTATCATTCACCTGTTCTCTGCTT